AAATATCAACAGTACAACGATTGAAATTTCTTTTGAGAGCCAAATTTTTTAAACTTAAACTATATAGGTAGGTACATTGTTATTAACTTAATTAGGGTACTCCTAAGGCTTAGGAAGAGCCACACTCAAGGGGCCAAAGAGCTGCATGTGGCCCTGGTCCATGGGCTGGGTAAGTGATGTACAAAACAGGCAGGTAATTCAGTATAAATTTCTTAAACTCTAGGTTTATGAGATTTGCCAACAATTACAGGTGTCCGTTTATGCTATCTATCAGCTTTGGCACAAAGCAGTGCTGAGATCCTGTCCTTGCTGATTGTTCATATTTTGAGGCTTGTGTGTTTTCAGGTACATAACGCCAGAACAAACCAGTTTGTCAGCACTGTAAATCTGAGACTGTAATAGCATTTCATTATTTATTTGTTCCAGTAATTTTTGCCGAAATAGTTCAATATCTTCTGATGAAGTACTTGAAGCTTTGCCGTAAATTTGTTCATAATTCTGTGCCTTTTGAGAAAACGCCAAAGCCACTTGCTTTGAATGGTGTGTTCATATGGTTTGCTAATTTCATTGCTGCAGATTTCATTTCAACTGCCTGCACTGGAATCCCATAAAAATGCTGTTGCAGGTACCACTTCAACAATGCTTTTTCAACTGAAGTTTTATGTGCCAATTTCATATGTTTTCTGGGATGGGTGTTTGAACCTACATCACATATTAATGCAAATTTTTTAATTTTGTCTTTTAAAAATTTTATTGATTTCAGAGAGAGAAAGGGAGGAGAGAGAGATAGGAACATCAATGATGAGAGAGAATCATCAATCAGCTGCTTCCCACATGCCCCTTACTAGGTATCGAGTCTGAAACCTGGGCATGTGCCCTGACCAAGTTCTGTGATCTCCTGGTTCATGGGTTGACGTTCAACCACTGAACAACACTGGCTGGACTTGTCTTTTTTTAAAAATGTCTGATACAGTTTGCTTTTTTATGTCACAATGCTCACTTATACAAGACACAGACACTCCAGACTCCAACTTTTGTATGCATTTTTAATTTAACATTAACTTTAAAAATATATATATTTTTTATTGGTTTCAGAGAGGGAGAGAAAGAGATAGAAACATCAATGATGAGAGGTAATCATTGATCGGCTGCTTCCTGCACGCCCCCTACTGGGGACCAAGCCTGCAACCCAGGCATGTGCCCCAACGGGGAATCTAACTGTGATATCCAGGTCAGCTGGGCTAAATTAACTCTTTTACATTTGTCCATATTTTAAGGTTAGGGTTACAATGATGTGTCCTACAGTACATACATAATTTTACATTTATACAGAATCTGTCTACAAGGTTAGGCTGTGGCTTAGCACAAGTTGGAACATTGGCTGGTGCACATGTTAAAACTGCTGTAGAAAGTCATGCCATATGATTACAGAACCAATTACCATGTGAGATGTGGTATTATCACATGCTAATCATTTGCTGAACATTATTACAAGTGACTCTTGGGTTGAAATATGTAGACCATAGTTGTAGGTATGTAGTATTCATTTATGCTGGCAAAATTACTACAGTGTTTTTTCCAACATCATGGGAATGAACAGTCAGGACCCAAGCAAAGATAGGTTGGCCAGGCTGCTGTGAGACCTTTCAAAGCTTGACAACTCCAGATGAAGGCAGCTTAGCGCACACCTAAGCCTACTACCACACCCAGGATCCTTATGTTCCAATGAAATCCACCCTTCACCTTGAATAATGCTTAGGAGTGGGTTCTGAACTCACACTTGCCTGATTTGAATCCTAAGCTGTGTTCCTTTGAACAACTTAACTATATCTCATTGTATCTTTCCTCATAGCTTTGTTGTGAGAAGTACACGGAGTTAAAACACTGCCTGCCAAACAGGCAATTAATAAAAGTATTACTGGTCTTATGTATAACCCATGGATGCACACAGTGGGGTGGTAAGGCAGAGATAGGCTGGAGGGGTTGATGGGGGAAAAAGAGAGACATATGTAATACTTTCAACAATAAAGATTTTTTAAAATTTATTTTTTTATTGATTTCAGAGAGGAAGGAAGAGGAAGAGAGAGATAGAAACATCAATGATGAGAATCATTGATTGGCTGCCTCCTCCACAGCCCCCACCGGGGATCGAGCCCACAACCTGGGCATGTGCCCCGACCGGAAGACCTTTCAGTCCGTAGGCTGATGCTCTCTATCCACTGGGCCAAACCAGATAGAGCTCAACAATAAAGATTTTAAAATCGCCGAAACCGGTTTGGCTCAGTGGATAGAGCGTCAGCCTGCAGACTCAAGGGTCCCAGGTTCGATTCAGGTCAGGGGCATGTACCTGGGTTGTGGGCACATCCCCAGTGGGAGATGTGCAGGAGGCGGCTGATCGATGTTTCTCATCGATGTTTCTAACTCTCTATCTCTCTCCCTTCCTCTCTGTGAAAAATCAATAAAATAAATTTTAAAAAAAGATTTTAAAATCCTATATAATAAAAGGCTAATATGCAAATAGACCGAACAGAGGAACAACCGGTCACTATGATGCACACTGACCACCAGGGGGTAGACGCTCAACACAGGAGCTGCCCCCTGGTGGTCAGTGCGCACCCATAGGGGATGCGCCTCTCAGCCAGAAGCTGGGTTCATGGCTGGCGAGCGCAGTGGTGGTGGCGGGAGCCTCTCCTGCCTCCACAATAGTGCTAAGGATGTTCGAGTGCTGGCTTATGCCCGCCCTCTACAGGGAGCTGTCAGTTGGGGATTCCCCAAGAGCTGGCCTAAGAGACATCGCTCCCCCCACCCTCCAGTGCACAAATTTCGTAC